TTTTTTTTTTAATAAGTTGTTGTACCTAGAGCATTAAACAGCAGGATTTAAAAGCTTTTTAGTGTTTGGAGTTTTATGTTAAAAGGTGGGTTTTATGCTAAGCTTCATGATGTTGTCTAGGCTTTGTTTTGCTTTCTGATCTAGCTGGATGTAGCTTGGATGAACTGTGAAGAAAATGCATTTTGAAGGAGCATTCGAACAGCGAAACTCCTGTAGCAACAGTGGTCTTTCCTGGCATTCAATGCTTCTTATAACTTAGATGCTGAAAAGGAAGCAGTAATTCCTGTGAAGTTTTGGTTACATGTCTTCCATTTGGCATTAAAAACTCCCATTTTTGAGGGAAGAACTTTGTGGCAGGCATCACTGATGACCAGTTTAGTGAGAAAGGCAAGTTGAGTCCTTGGGTAAATTGCTGTACATCCTTATAAGAAATACAGGGAAAGTAMTGTGATGCTTTCCATTTGTGCTGAAGGGAAGCCTTTTAGTCCTATAATGCTGCTTAAACATCCTTGCTTTGTTCCCCAAATGGGAACAAAGTTCCCCAGTGTATTATTTGCAAGGAAAAGATCTTATACTCAGCTCTTTAAAAGAYGCATCCCAGTGAAGTGTGGGATGGCTAAAATCCCAGGATTTTAGTGCCTGACATCTGTCCCTTGCTGGAGGTTTCTGCTGCAGGGCTCCTCAGTGGTCACTGATGACTTGAGCTGACTGGAATCTGTTCTTCAGACACCAGCAGCATCACATTCCTCAGCAGCGGCAAAGGGGCCCACAAAGGTGGCAACAACAGTTTCCATCTCTGGCCCTGGCCTGAGGCCATTCGGTAGCACCAGAGCTGAGAAGTTTTTGTCTCCCCAGACAAAAATGTTTGCAGCCTCTTCGGTAGTGATCGAGCATTTCTCTTTTATTGCTTAGTTCACTGGCATCATGGATGATTTGTGTAGAATTACTGGTATGTAATTCTTTCCTTTTGCCTGTCAAAGAAGCTGCTATTGCTTCAGGATCTTGTGGATGGGAGTAGTTAAGGCTCTCCAGGTACGTTTCTTCTGGACATTGTCCGACACCTCAGTCCTTTGTTCTATCTGCCTGCAAGTTCCAAGCTCCACTAGATACAACACAGCATGGATATAGCTCTAGGTAAATTGCATTCATAAGCAGTGTGCCCCAGTAAAAATAATTCTTACATTTCTAATTAATTTCCCAAGTAATAAATGGGAAAACAGTGACCCACACAGAATGAATTTTCAATGATTCCCTGTGACCACCAGGATCATTCAGTGGATGAAGTTTTGTGGGATGTGTAGCATGTACATATGTCTAAGATACTATCAGAGGAGTTAATTTGCATGGATTTCATAAACTTGTGCATCACATTTTTGTTAAGGAAATGCCAGTGGTAGGCCATGATGGATTCTTCATGCAGCGTAAATCCTGCTTTCTTTACAAGACCTTGCTAGGAATAAAGGAAAAATAATTGGAAAGAACCTTGTTCTTTTGGCAAAGGCAGTTTTAAATTAGCACAATCACTCTTAGTGGTAATGTAGAAACTGCCATTATCAGATTTGTTGGAGTAGTTGGGAGTGATTGGTAATTACCTGGCCAGAGCCTGTCTAGCACAATGGCCTGTGTTGCCAAGTTTTGCAGGGGGAGGTTTTTAAGAGGTGGTTACAGACTATGGCTGGTGCAGCATTGTCTGTGAGCTGTTATGTCTGAAAGGCATCAGTGGGTGAGGGAGAAAATAACAGAGCTTGGTCTCTGCCCCTGGCCATATATGTGAATATGATCTGTACATATCTCCTGGGACTCTGCAGCAATGGTCTCAGCATTGTTTTAAAGATTCCATCTTTAAAAAAGGTAGATGTAGACGTGCATCTGGTTTTGACACACATCTCTCAGAATTTATTAGGTGGGGAGGAGAAGGAATGGTTACATAATCAAGTGTTAGACCTTCAGCAAGGAAACATTCATGGACTTGGCTCCAACTTACCACCTATTTTTAGACAACCCTCTCTGTTAAAACAGATTTCATCCTCTCCCAATCTTTGGCTCATTGAAGGCTGTAAAGTTTTATCATACTGTAAGAAACTAATAATTGTTGATGTGATTATAGCAATATCTTACAGTTTCCATTCACATTTTCCAAGTACTGCTGCATTCCTTTCTACATTGAAAATGTGGCCCACTAAAATGCTGACAGATGTGACAACTTTTTCTGTTAGTGAGGAAGTCACCTATTGCTATTTTTAGCACACCAGAAGGCTGTTCTAATACAATAAATTTAGCCCCCAATATAAAAAAACACAGCATGAAGGGTAAATGAGCATACAAGAGGCAGAGTGTGATGGCAACTTACAGAAATGGCCCCCACCCAAAAATGCAGCAYTTTCAGTCTTTAAAATACAGCATGAGACATTTAATTGCATCTCTTTTATTTCAAATGCTGGATGATTCCCTGAGTAAGCAGTTTTTTATTTAAATAAAACTTTTCCGGAACTTAATAATGTGGAACAAGTACACAGCTGGCAGTGAACTGGAGATGGCACATTCTTTGGCCCAGGGAAGTAGTGGTCTGACAGGAGCTCTTGGGACTGTTCATTTCCAAAACTTCACGCTGTGCTGTCACCAGCCTCTTTCAGCATTGCCATCTCCCCCACCTCTGCTTCTCCTCTCTGACTGATTTCTGGGGCTTGAATTCCTCTTTGACTGTGTTGCCATGAAAGGGATTTTTCATACTTGGTCTTAAAAAGTAATCCATGACCTGAAAAAGCAAAATGGGAAAAAAAAAATCCCAAACCAACATCCTGAAATGAGATGACTACAGTGATAAACACAATACCTTATTCTTATAAAGAATGGGTCCTCACAGACTGGAAACTACATCCCGAGGCTTTGGAAGCAGGAGAAGTAACATACACAGAAGGAAATGGTACTATAAACTTCTACACAGTTATGTATGTAAATTTTAACACTCATCTACACCCCAAAGATTAAAGTCGTGAACATACATGGAAGATGTTTGCTTGATGCCTGGTAAGGCCAAGTGCACTTACCTGGACAATCTGCTGTCTCCTTAAATGCCCTTTTCTTACAGCATCCTCGGCACATGTTAAAAACACATTTATTGCCCTGATTTGGGATGGGGATATAAAGAAGCTTGTGTCAGTGCAAATGAAATTATTACTGTTTACTGTAATATGTAACAATACATGAGTTCTGCACTCTCAGATCTTTGGAAAAAATTATTTACTCAGCCTAATGAAGATTACAATTGATGTCCTATTGTGGGCTATCAACTGTTTGCACATAACAAAAAACCCTGAACCAGGCAAAAAAAAAATCCGCATTCAACTTGTGCCACTCCCATGGCCTGTTGGGCAGCTGAGTTATCCACCACAACCAGGCACATGCTGTAAGCCCTCTGGAACAGATATGAGCACATTTGGTGCTCATGAGCTTGTTCTAGTCTTCTGCAACTAAATGAGAACAGTGCCTGACATGTGCTACCATCTGTAGTTATGCCTAAAATACGCTACCACCAGAATTACTTCCCTACTTGCAGCTTAAAATACACCTATCTATTATTGCATATTTATTAAAATATCATGTATGACCCTTGGGGGACAGTAGCAGCTGAGTCTTGGCTAACTGATGATGTGGCTATACTGGCCTGGGCCTCTGGGATGCTTTGCTCACACACATCTTAGAAAACGGGGCTGGTGTTGTTTAGCGTGGCTCCCCCTTCACCCGTTTTAATCCCAGTTAAAAATTCCTTAATGTTTAGGGAAGCCTCAGTTGAGTTTCTTCTCCTCCTTCTTAATCTTCTTCACACACCCAACCCCAGTTTCATGACAGAAATACATAATCTAGGGAAAAAGAATAAATTACCGGCCTAGTCAATAGATTTCAAGGGCTGATTGCAACATTGCAGTGATGCAAGAGCAAAACAAAAATAAACCTAAGCCCTGTTGCAGACAATCCTGGTTTATGCAGCAAGTGATGTCACCTGGATTAACTGTGAAACAGGATGGCTTTGTAAGCAGACCAGCCCAGTTCTCAAAGTTTTCCCAGCAGTGAACACAGCAAAAAGTTTTCCATTTTCTTCAGTAGCTCCAGCTTCAAACACAGCCCCAGCTAGCTGCCACTGCTATGCTGCGGTAACAGTATTACCAGGGAGCAATGCCACATGATTGTGTTCTAGGCTCACCCTTCTCCCCAGGTGTAATGCTAACTTTTACATTAGAACACAAAATTACTTGCATCTTACACCCTCCTTTATACGTATTTCAGCAGCAATAAATACACTCTGCTCACACAGCTCAGCAACGGCACCCAGTCAAGGAAACAGCTATGTTCCCCAAGGGAAAAATAAACAAAATGAATTCTTTGCAAATATTAAATATTTGAAATTTCAATACACAACCTGTAAACCAGCTGCCTCATTTTGCAATGCTAATGGTGAAAGGCAATGTTCATCTCCTGCAAAGGCAGAACCGAGGATGCGGAGGCGTTCAGGCTTGTTTCAATAAGGGCAGATATCCAAACACGACACAAACCAGAGCTGCAGGTGCTGTCTGACACTTACTACGGGCTGTACTGTGATGTCATTTAAAGTATTTTTATTAATACACTCAGAACCACACTAGATGTTCAAATTCTCACTTCACAGAGAAACTCCACCAACCACTAACCATAGTAACGGGGTTTATTTTTAATTTCACAGTGTGGAAGCTTGGACATTTGTTTCCAAGATATCTTGGGAAGTTCATTTAACTCACTCAACTGTCTTAATAAATATTCTCAGCAGCAGTAAGACTGCACTTATTTTGGAGAAGAAGGCAAATTCTCTCAAATAACCTATACACGTTAAGGATTTCTGTGCAACACCTTCAACTTCAGGGACTGGTTTCTGTTAATGGTTACAACACTTTAGCCTAAGTATGGAATTTCCTCCCCACGTAACACTTATTATGGACATACTTTTATGGATGCTCATACTGACTTACCTTAGGGTTTCCACATTGATCACATTTTGCATATTTGGCTGAAAGAGAGAGAAGGCTGATTTCAGCAATGGTATTTTTATGTGGAGGAAGTAAGTTAAAAAATCAGGACCAAATAAAGACTGGTGCTCTTCTAGCCAGAGAGTCGTTTTGAAATAAAAATACAGTACCTCAAATAATAGTGCTAAGGTAAAGATACTTTGAATTTTTAAGTGCCTCGAAGCTAAATCCAAGCATAAAAAAATTTAATCCTCAAATCAAGTCCAAATCAGGAGGACATCAGCTTGAAATTCATACAAAATTTCCATTTCAAATACTAGTGACAGCTGCAATTCAGTCTGCAAACCATTTTGATCTTAAAAAGATGCTTATAGAGAATCAGTGACCTACTACTTTGATCCTCGTTGCCTTCACTAGTGAGTATTATTTGAATCTCATTGCCTGCTATTGAAATTTCCCAGCAATTCCCCCTCTTTTGCAAGAAGTTTGCACAAGAACACAAGCTAGGAAAATTCATAGCAGCCATTTATGTCTAAGGTGCTATCAGCAACTCCCCATACATTTATGCCAATAAATAGAACTCACGTTTTAAAGATGGATCAAAGCTTTTATTTGGATTTCTTAACTTCTTTTTTTGCTTATTCTTTGACAGAAGCTCAGAATTTCCATCTTCCTCCTCTTCCAGAGTACGCTTCCCTCGCACACTTTTTTCAGTTCCATTCTCCCTGCATCTCTCCTTTGGCCTAAAACAGTAAATTTCATTTTAAGTTGGCTGGAGGGCAAAAGTAGCTGCTCCCTGATCATTATTTTGGTTTACAGAAATCTGGATAAACCATAAACCTTTCCGTCATGGCAACAAGGAAGTGTCATTTGAAGGAACAGAAAGACCTAACTTATTTACTTACCACTGGCAGTTGGACACACTATCAGATACATCAGCTGGAAAGCCAATTAAAGTTGGCGAGTTAAATTCAGCACCTGTTATTCCCAGGTTTTACTTAAGAATTTACCTAAATATTAATCTTRACATATTTGTTCTCTTCTTCAGCCCAAATTTCAGCAGAAGGGGAATAAGCTATCTGAAAAGCTTGTCCATCCATAACAAGCATCCTTTATAGAATACAATTTAGTTCTCATCCATGGCCATTACCAGCAACATTCATGTTGCATGTAACAATAAAACACTGTCAGGTAGCATATTTGCTGCACATCAGGTTCTCATGCTGAGCTGCCGTGGGATTCCTGGTTTTTACTTTCCAGAGAGAGAGAGAAATTCGAGGAGGATCCAAAGGAGAAGATGTAAACAATAAGCAACATCCCCATGATCAAACCAATAACTAGGAAAAAACCAAACTAGAATAAAAATAATCCACTTTTTTTTTTTTTTTTTTTTTTTTTAATGAGTGTAAGCTCCTACAAGAGAATCAACGACTCATACTGACAGTACGGGGGGAAAGGCCTATGAATACTTTTAAGTATCAAAAGAGGTAACTCACCCTGCCCTGGTGTATGGCTGACAGATCCAGTGGAAAAAAGGCAACCCTTCTTTTGGCTTTTCTCCTTCTTTCTGATTAGCTATTTCTTCCTGCAACATAGAGTTACAGTCAGTTTCCCTGGAATTGACAGGAAATACACTAAAGAACACTTCAAACTCCAGGAAATCACGAACTGAAATTTAAGCTAACAATTACTGACAGTTACATATAGGCGAAAAAAGCACTTACTAAGACAGATGAATTGAAGCACATTTGTAACTCCTAAATCAGCTTTATCCCATGTAAAGTTGTCCAGGCTTAAGGGGATGCTACTGCAGTAAACTACCAGTACCAAGGCTGGTAAGCCACAAAGTCAAGAGAAGTGACTAATGAATGTCAAGTGCATGAGTGCCATCCGTGGTGTGTTCCCAGCAAGTGCTGGCAGTTCTGGGAGATGAGAGCCCATGGTGGTACCTGGCATCGCAGTTTCAGCTCCCGGTTGACATCTACAATGCCATCCAGAGTCTTCACTTTTGCTAATTCTTCACGCAGCTGCTGGTAAACTTGAAGCCTGAGGAAAATCCCAAGCATCAAGCTATATTTAGATTGAGATCAACTGAAAATAGCTTCATAAAAGCATTTTATACATTTTTCCTGATCCATTTGCCTTTGCTAGAAGCTTATGTTCTTCCTTGCAAGTCCAGAGAAAAGCACCTATATCTWTTCCAGATAAATACTTGGCAGAGAACCAAGGTACTTTGACATAAGTAAACATGAATGTACAATGCATCAGCTGCTTCTCAGTAACTACCCATAGGCATGTGCTTACTCCACAACAAATGCAACAGTGCTATGCCTCACAATGAACAAGGAGATAGTTAACTTGTGTTTGCCATGAAGTGTGTGTGTGCAGATGGGCAATTACCACATGGCAGCTGGTGTGCTGTGAGCTTACATCCCAGCTGATCTTGTGGCAACTTATTCATTCCCCATGCCCTGTTTCCCGGATATGAAGACTCAAGGCCTCAGCCCACACCCTCTTCAGCCAGGTCGAGGAAAGAAAACTTTGCAGCATATTAATTCTGGCCAAACAAATCTTTGTCCAGAAAACCCAGACACTTGCTAAGCAGGATGAGCCCGAAAAACATTAAAAGTTCTCTGGAGATACTCACGTGTGATGCCAAAGCTTGAAGAGATGAGCCCTAACATAAGACAATGGACAAGGGTACTTCCGCACTATCTCCAGATACTCCTCAGCCATCTCCCACACCAGTGGGTTCCGGCCCTCAAACAAAGCTGGGTTATGAAGATTACCTTCTAGGGAATGAAAAGAAATACACAAGTTTGCATTTCCAGATTGAAACAAAAAGCAAAACCTCTGCTCTGTAGTTTGATCATCTCTTTTATGATTCTACAGCCACGACGCATCAGCCACATACTCACAAGTGGAACACAGGATTCATAAAACTCTAGCCTGACCTTGGGATACTATATTTTACTATACAATTCCTAACTGAGCCAAAGAGCTCACATCTAATTAAAGTGCAGTTTCTAGAAAGGCATGTAACCTTGACACAAAGAGAATAAAACAATAAATAAGAGAAATCATTGCTTTTGTTGCCCAGTGGTTAAATACTTACACAATAGGTGTCTTACCTTATGCCTGTATTAATATTTGTCTGGCCTGAGTTCATAAGATACAGCTTCTCACTATGCATTTCTCTATTAGCTTCATAAGCCTTTTGTTAACCAGTATTTTCTAAACCCAAGACTCTACAACCCTTCTTTAACTGTGTGAGTGATTCGAAGAAGCTCTTTCTGATGCCTATCCTAGCTCTTCTTGTAGGAACTTATGTCAATTCTTTCTTATCCCAGCCCAACGTGAAACACCTACAGGAAAACTAATCTGCAGATGCGCTTAGCTCATTGAGAACCATGCAAAAACTTCCACTGATTAACAGATGTCACAAAAATATTCCAGGACAACAGGAGTGCCATATGCCTCAAGTAATTAGATTTGAGCTGTCTAGTGCAGCAAGCCCAACATAAAAATTCTTAYGAATCTTAAGTGATTCCTGGTCCTGGTATGAGATGGCCAGTATAAGAGGAGGGAGAATGGCCACTCAGCTGTCAATCAGAGCTGTTCACCAAGCCAATGTGACATATGCTTTTAATAAATGTATACAGGGCTGCTAAGAGTATAAGAAACAATTCCTATTCTCGTCTGTTACAAGTTCATTTTCCTTACCTGCACTCATGACACCATGTACTCCTGTCTTACGGATACAYTCTTCCACATCACTGAGACACTGGATGTTTCCATTTGCAAATACAGGAATGCTTACAGCTTTTCTGTACCAGTGAATAAAACAGATGCATAAAATTGAGAATTAGAGTCAACCCAGAAATTCATCTCCTGTCACACAAATTTGTTTGCTCCTCAGTGCTACTGTACACACTGCTTAAAATCCAGAGCGTCAGTAAGAATCCACTAAGACTGGTACTGCTCACTAACCTGACAGCTTGAATGTGATCCCAAGATGCCACGCCAGCAAGTGGTCCTTTCTGCTCCTTAGTACGGCCATGCACAGTCAGCAGCTGCAACACAAAATTACATTTACTTTCCATGTGAATGAACCACTGGAATAAATCCATTGACAAAAATTTCCTTTCACCCCCTACACTTCATTGATGCCACTGAGTTCCTGCTGCTACTTCAACAGTGCAGGGAGTTTAGCATCATAGAAAGGTATCAGCAACTCACCTACTCTGACATGGTCTTAGGCTCCTTTTGTCTTGCTGTTCCATGGCCTGACAAGATTGTATCATGGGAGACACTACAGATTTCCTTTCACAGTGGATTCCCATTGTGATTTGCTTTGGAATTTGTGATATATTGATCTAACTTTCTCCCCAGCAGAAGGTCCAGATGCTGTCAATACCATCTCAAATGTCAGACCATCTCTTCCATTTTAACTGGAGTTAAATTCTAGAAGGCCGCCTATTTCTTCTAGTGGTACCCTTTTTTTCTACAGTCCTGTGGATTTCATGCATTCACACTGCCTCCTGCAGAACTAGATGAAGACTGAGCTGCTCAATTGCAGTGAAGGACACTGCACAGTGCAGTGATTACAAGAGACTGTGAAATCATCATGTCCTCCACACCGTACTACTGACCTGCTGCCTTGGACTGAACATACAGACTCTGTCTGCATGCTGTCTGCTCTGTTTGCAAAGGAATGCAGTCTGTTAATCTCCAGAGTATACCAAAACTGGTCATCAGATTCTGTGCACAGAGATACGTCCAACGCAAGAGTATGGGGAGGAGCCGCCTTCTTACCTGGCAGCCAGCTTTCTCCAGCATCTGTGCATACTTCACTGTCTTGTCAATGTCTGGGAAAATGCGGATTTTGCATGTGATGGGAACAGAGAGCTTCTCGTTAGCCAGTAAAACTGAGAAAGATTGAAAAGACAGGTAAGTGCTCTGCACAATGCTATGAAAAGCATCTGCTCTCCTCAAGATCTGATATGTGGTATAGAAAAGCCCTGAGAAGTTCATGCTATGCAGGTCTCACAGCTTAAAAAAAACCAGCAGTGTCATCTGCAGTCCTTATCGCATAGGTTAATTACGAAACAGTAAAATATGAAGCACAAAATCTGCATCCTAACAAGGTGGAGTAACCCTTAACATTTCTACTGCATCAAGTTTCACTTTCAAAGACCATCCCCTCACAATTATTGATACAAATTTATTATCATCACAGTACTCTTCCAACATTAACACTTGTTTGTCTACTCTTCCTACAAAAAGTGCTTCACTTATTTGCAAATTATCATCCAAATCATTATGCTAAGTAGAGTCTAATCCGTGGCAAGCATAAGCTTATCAAGGGAGGTAGGCTGTGGACCCAATCAAGTAGCAAATGCAGGTTATATAGCCAGGGTAAAATCTAGAACAACATATTAAACTTGCAGTCCTTACACAGAACATGGAATCACAAACATACTAAAGAGAGAGCTAACAAAGAGAGGCAACAGGAAAACACTGACTAATGGCGTGCCTGAAATTCTCTTCTGTTCTAGACCTTGCACATTACAATGTAGGAAGTCTTCTGCTGTCTTCAAATCCTACAAGCTCTAATGACAGGCACTTCCTATAACCCTTCCAAAGGAGGAAGCAAGGTGTACACAGGTGCAAGGAGGAAAGAGTGCTCCACCATTTTAAAGGTGGCTGGGGAAAGACGTAGGAAGTGGATAGCCTAAGACAATTCTCTTACCAGACAGCCTGGGTTCTCACCCACCTAGATGACCTGGGTTCTCTTCACACCTTGAGGCTATTCTGATCTGCATGTTTCTCAACAGCTACATTACATGCGGGGCAAGGAAGCACTGTCTATCTTCCAGGTTCTCAGCAGTGTCTTCGTGCCAAACATTACTTAAGATTCCCCAGACCACCAGGAATGCTAACAGAAATAAGACTCTCTAACTTCACGGTCCAAACACTTGCTCTAAAATGGGGTGAAGGCACATTCTCAGTTCTATGAAAAACGTTGCTTTTTATATCAGTTACAAATGAATTTCTTTTAAAAAAACAAGGTACTGTTCACAACAGCTTCTAACAGCCTGAAAAGAACCGCCAAAAATTAGGAGAAGAAAGGCCTAACTTGCCATGCTGTGGACAGAAAGAGTACATGGAATTGGTCAGAAAAGGGCACCCATGGCTTCAAGCAGAAACATGACTTCTACTGTCTCTAGAGATGGAGAGCCACTAAGCCTTCATAGACTGGAATTTAATTGACTGACACCTAAAGTTATTTCAGGCATGGCAGTCTTTTAGCTGATCTAGTGTGACTTTGCAGTGGGATACCACCAAGTATCGTGAGGGTGCCACTGGAATACAGTCAGAAATTAAAAGAAAAAAAAAAGAACGCAACTGTCCCCTCAAAACCCAAACTTTATCCATAGAAATATGATGCACTTTCTTTCCTCCAAAATCCCTAAATCTTGACTAGTTCATCCTATTTCCTCTCTAAAATACTTACTCATTTTCTGAAGAAGATCCCACTCCTCTTGCAGAAATGCTCCATAGTGACCTATGATAAAATAGCATATGACAGACTTGTGCAGAAGAGTAAGATCCTGAAGCACAGTTTTCATAAATACTCACAAAGATCCAGACACTCATATGCCTCACTGGAAGAAACAGAGTTGCTCTGTCCTGCCCCAACTGGAAGAATCAGATCATTCTGTTCTCCCTGCCATCCTAGATCTACAGGATAAACAAGGAATCTCCACACCCTATTTTCACTGGTATTCCCTAAGGCTGATGTGTTAACACTGGCAGCTCAAAGTCCAACTTCCAAGGGTTTATACCAGATGTTTAATAAATCCCATTAGGAAAAAAGATGACCAGACTGAGAGATCTATTTGTACCACTGATCATTTCCTATTAGACTTTGAAAGATACTTCAGAAGAATGTGCAGTTACTCAACAAACCTTTTCTCAACACCTTAACTGATACAAATTTTTCAAACACTAGTTCTGGTTTTTAAACAYGTGACATCTGTAAAGGATTCAGCAGATGTCGTCCTCTTCTACACTATTGTGAGAAAGCTCTGTGCAAGTATCAGGAAAATAGGAGATGTTTAGTGTCTGAATGATTTTAAGTAATTTTAAATGCAGTTTTTCAAAATTACCCTACTTAAGCAACTGAAATCAGAAAGAAAATCAAGCTCTTACTACCTTTTCTGAAGGATATTCTAATCACAGGAGCTGCCACTTAAGAGAAGTTGGAATTAATTATATTTAATTTTTGCTTTAGGTACTACAGAGCGTTACCTGCTACACTGGCTGAAACTAAGTCTGACTTCAGCAGTACTGCAGCCCCTCCCCAAGGTTTGATTTGGCCCTCTTGATGTTTTACTGCCAATGTTCACGTTTGAAGCTCCATTTGCCATTTCTCYGTTTATCCAGGCTTCAGATCTGCACGTACCTCTCTTTGCAATCATTTGGGGGCAACCCAAATTTAGGTCTATGGCATCACAGTAATCCTGAGCCAACAGTGCTGCTTGGACAAACACTTCAGGATCATTGGCACAGAACTGTGAAAACGCAAAGGAAAGTGGAATAATTAGGCAACAGCTTTCTTCAAGTACTGACACCATGTCATGATGTAGTTATGAAGCAACTATCTGCTACAGAAAACAGGCAAATATGCAGTTAATAATAGCAAACACTTTCTCAAAATGATCAAAAGAAGCCATGATGTAATGTTTTTGGATTTCAGTAAAACATTTGATACCGCTTCTCACAGGTTCTGGACAAAATGTCCACCCCACAGCTGGAGAAACACACTCTGTGATGGGTGAACAACTGGCTCATGGGTCAAGTGCAAAAGGTTATAGTGACTGGGGTGACACTAGGCTGGTGACCGGTCACTGCTGGCGTTCCGCAGGACTCCATTACATTCAAAGCACAGTGGAAGAAGCAAATTAATAGGTTAATATGAAATTTCTTTGTTTGAAGAGGACAGAGACAGACTATTCTTCTCATTTATGCTTTTAAATGGATTTTCTAAAACTCATTTTTAACAAAAACCTATGTCATCACATCTTTACATAAACTTGAAACAAAATTTAAACTAACTCTTCTGAGCAGAAGGTGTTACTTAAATCTTATAGCACTACATAAACTATGACTGACACCAACTAAAAAAAAAAAATGATTTCTCTGAGATGACTGAAACAATGAAAAGCTTCCAACCCTGCCATATAATGAGAATGTTGGCACAGTAAACAAAGCCTTCAGAGCAGGCTGAGCTCAAACGTACCTCTGCCCAATCTAATTCTGAGACTCTGTGACCAAATCTATAAGGACTGCTGCATAAGATTGATCCAAAGATTAATTAGTTCTGTACTTTATGTCCAATAGTGGCCAGTGGGAAGAAGGGTAACACAGAAAGCTCACAGCAACTGATCCTGTTCAGATCATCCAGACCACACAGCTTAGTGAGCTAAAGATCTGTGACTTACAGCTTTCTAAGATTACTTGAATTTCTGCCACTTGTATTTTTCTGTGTCAAAAGGAACTCCCTCCCACAGAAGAACGTACAAGATGCTAAGATTAGCTCAGTCGGTTAGAGCATGGTGCTAGTAATACTAAGGCTGTGAGTTCTATCCCTGTATAGGCAATTCACTTAAGAGCTGGACTGGATGATCACTGTGGGTTCCCTGCAACTCAGAATATCCTGTGATTCTGTGAAAGCTGTACTGAGACAGATCAAACCTCAACATCAGATGTCTAGGAAACAGCAGAAGCTGAAAAGTGTCTTTAAGGACTTTGCAAGGAGAAGGTGTGTTTGTTGCGCCTAAACACCCTCAAGTGTTTTCCTTCATTTGCTTTGTAAACTCATGTAATCTTTCAGAATCCAGTACAATCTCATAGTAATGRATTCTGCAGTTTATAACAACCACTACACTTACTTGTTTCCCATTCATCATCTTCAAGCCAGTAATACTTCCACAGGCTTCTCTTATTTCTCCCCTCAGTCAAGGGAGACACTTCTTTTCCRGGGCGAAGAGTCCTCATCCATTTAACTGCTCCACATGTGGAAATCAGCCATTCCTCTGCTCATGACTACTCTTTCCCTGCATTTTTCTCCAGCTCCACAAGCCACTTTCCCTCTTTGGCATACACTGAAGTACCTGAACATCACACTGTAGTCCAGAAGCAGAAACAACACATGCTTTAAAGTCTGTCCTATCTTCCTTGCATCCTTTCTCTATAGCTAAACACTGAGCGCAGGGTTCCAGAGAAGTACTCAAAAAACTGATCCTCCGTGAGTGGTACATGATCCGGGACACAGCCTGACTCTACAAGACCAGCTGTAATCTGTCGTTAAAGAAGAGGTGCAGGGGGCTGAAACTCTATGAGAACTCCACTGCTCCAGGTCCCTACGGTTAAGACATCAAATTCTGTCCTAAACATGGCATAAACAGAAAAGCACACATCTTCATGCGCTAAGTACTGTCAGCGGTAATTAAACGAAGAAAATGAGATCTCTGTCACCCTACATAACCACGTTAAAATGTGGATAAGCCTAACGACCTWCAACTCACGCACATTTGGAAAACGSTGGATTTGTTAGCACGAGCGCGGTGGACGGCGCGGGTGCGTGTGGCAACGCTGACTCGCGTCCCCAGCGTTACCCAAGAACGCACCGCACGCTAAGCCCAGCTTAGCTGCTCCAGCTGCTGGGGCTGACAGGGCGAGCCGGAGAGGGGACCGCGCTCACCTGCACGATGAGCGGGCGGTCCTCCGGACAGGCATCGCCGTAGAGGTTCTCGCGGCGGTAGTTGGCGTCCCTTAGGAAGACCTGGGCGTGCAGCATGGGTGTGTAGCAGAGCTGGGCGCCGTGGCGGCGGCTCAGCAGCCTCCAGGCCAGCTCGCTCTGGTCCACCATGGGCGCCACCACGTAGTGGGCGCTCCGCAGCGTCTCCCTCCAGAAGGCCTCCCCGCGCAGCTTCGGCATCTCCCGCCTGCTCGCCCGTGCAGCGCTGCGGCGGCTGCCGCCCCGCGCCGCCACACCGGGGCTCGCGGCCTGCGGCCCTCACGCTGCCGCGACCGCTGGGCCCGGGCCGGGCAGCGCCGCAGCCGGACGGTACCACCGCCATCTCGCTCCGGCCGGCTCAGCGGTGCAGCCGCGCGTCGTCCCCCCCAGAAACCGCAGCGCTGCCGGCAGGGGCCGCGAGCGGGAGAGGCGCGGCAGCCGCAGGGCTGCGTCTGGCGCGAGGGACCCGGCGGCTGAGGGGCGGC